CCCGCCCCCCCTTCCCCCCCAGCCGCCGCAACAGATCCAAACCACCCAAACCGGGACTTTGAGAAAGCAAAGGCAGGCAGGCGCGCGCGCCGGGGAGAGAGGGGGGAGATGCCACCATCCTTACAGGCAAGTGCAGGCGGAGAGCGGGGAATAAGACATCGCTGAGTGAGGTGGAGCGGCGGGGGATGGTCAAGTGGCTTCAAGTGAACGGCGTCAAATCCCCCGCCGCAGGCTGGCCATGGGAAGGGTCCTGCTCCGTGAAGCTCCGCCGCTTTCCAGCGATCTCGCTTGGCGCTGAGCAGCAGTGAGGAGAAGTTGAAAGCCTGCCTGCTTTGCCTCCACCGAATGACTCCCTTAGACATCAGCTCTCCTCTTCTCCCCCCCCCCGCTCTCTCCTCCTCCTCCTGCTTTGGGGATGGATGTGTGTGTGCGTGCGCGCGGGTGTGCGTGTGTCTCACTCCCTCTCTCGCGCTCGATCTCTGGAGCGGTGAAGGTCCTGCTTGATTGTCAGTAACTTCCGATCGTCAGCAAACAAGCCTCCCCCCGGTCGCGCCTCCCCCCTTCTCAGCCTATTCTTCCCCGGCTCTTTCTTGGATCCGGCTGCTGCCCAGACCAAAGAGCAGCCCTGCAACCAGCCTGTGCTTTGGCGCTCAAGGATGGCTCTCGGATCCCAGAGGGCTCTCTGGCTGTCTCCCCGCCTCTCCTCCTGATCGAGCGCAGCCTCCGACCAGCGCAGGGCGGCGGCGACGGGCAGGTTCCTGGCGAGGGCATCGAAGAGGAAGGGGCGAGGGCTTGCTCGGCCGAGGACAACCCGAATGGGGCGACCAGCCTCGTCCCGCCGCCGATCCAGCGCCTTCTCCGCCTTAGTCTCCCTCTTGTCTTCTCTCAACATCCTCCCCACCGCGCGAGAGAGCGCGCATCCTCGGCCAGCGAAGGGAGGTGCTGGCTGCTGCTGCACTTGCTGGAGGCGAGGGACAATCGGGAAGCCAGCTGGCTGCCGGCCCCCGCCTCCCTCCAGTCCCGTGGCGGGCGTGGAGCCTCCACCTGGGCAGCCAGCGGCGACCGCAGCAATCCGGGGACAAAGCGAGCGTAGCCAAGGCGCCCGTCTTCTGGTGCGGAGGAGCGGGCGGCTGACAGGCGAGACCGAGGCAGGGAGGTTGGAAGGGGAGAGAGCTCTCCAGCAGGGCTGTTTGCCCGGCTCGAGCGGCCATGTTCCGAGGCAGTCTATCCCTCCAAAAGCAGGAGGGGGCGGCGGCGCACGGGAAGTCGCCTCCCTACCCTCACGACTTGTGGGCCTCCCAGAAATATGTCATCCCAACTGAAAAGGTGTTGTTGGAGTAGTTGGAAACTTTCGGTCTGTCTGATCTCCCCTATTCCGAGGCCCTGTCTACAGTAGCAGTGCACTTCGGAATCCAGGATCAAAAAGAGGAGGACACAGGCTGCAGGGGAGAAATGTTATAGGTCTGTGGTATGTAGGTCTGTGGTCTTTCCAGCCTGCCATCTTGGAATTGGTTGGTGTATCATGAATATCTTTTCTTACTTGCGGTTTAAAGCACCATCCATTAAAGCATCCCAGTTCTCCCTTATCCCTAACCACAGCACAAACATGCCTCGGCAACACTGGGATTTTTTGCTATGTCCCTGGGGTGTTGCCTTCATCTCATTCCTAGTCCATAATTGAGACAGGCTTAAGTCGTCCTTAGCCAGACTGGTGTTAAATAGCTTTTCCCCCTTTATTCCAACACTGTCCAAGGACAGCCTCATGTCACTCACTATCTTGGGAAGAAGTCAGTTGACTAGAATGACCCTGAGAACCAAGGCAGTCAAGGCAGGAATAGGGATCGGCAATGAGGAGAGCAAATGTCATGTTGCTATAGTTTTGGCACAGATAGGTGGCCCCAAGTCAATAGAAAGAATGGCCACCATAAATTAGGTTGTCTGGATGGTGGCTTCCATCCTGTGATCCTCCGTGCTAACCAAATGCCTTGTCATCGCTGTTGGGTGCCAATGCTTTCAGGCCAATGATCAATCCATGTGGCTTGTACACACACCCTTCCAGTGACCTATGGGAGAAAGCTCATTACCTTCCTAAGACACACCACTGATCTGGCCTTGCCTTCCCCAGAAGGGGTAGTAAAGCACTATGAGGTTTCACTCTGTCTGGCAGGACCCAATCAGTTTAAGCAGGAAAGATTAGTTGTTCTGGAACAAGAGGGATTGACCTACGACTGTTTAAATCCTAGGTTGGGTACAAGATAGGGCCAGGGTGAGGAGAACACCAGAGTTGCCAGGATAGTCTGGTATGAATGTAAATTGCAAGTAAGAGCTTGACAAATACTCTGACCCAAGAGGAGTTCTTTCAGTAACAAGATGTGGTAAACGAGCTCTGCTATGTTGGGAGGACAGTTCACCTCCTCATTTTATTGAGTGGGGTCCTGGAACCACTGTAAAGGACAACTAGGAGCAGTAAAAGCCTAAACAACTTCACCCTTTAAGAGGAAACTATTGAATGAAAGAGAGCAGCTGCATGGCCATGAGAAGGGACTCCTGACTTCACCTATGTTGGAGCCCAAGCCAAAAGTTGTAGAACCAGGAACCTGAAAGAGAGCCCCTGTTTTTTCTTGGATGGAGAGCCTTTTAAGATTGGTTTATGAAGTTGGGAAGGAGACCCAATCTCAGTCAAAAAGGGAAGAGGAGATCTGAGCAGAAGGGACCCTCGGTGTCTGATCCCAAGGGACCTTGCTTCAGCTGGAAATCACAATTCCTTTTGCCTGCTGCCTCTGTGGGTGTACTATGCACTCAAGAGGAAGCTTTGCATTTGCCTAGATTTTTTCAGCTCACCTAGAAATTAGAAGTCTCAGACCAGGTCATCTTTAACAGCAGGCACCATACGAAATCCAGCTCTGTGTAATCTCCTTCCTTCTGCCTTCTTCACTCCCCTTCCCTGACCAGAAATGGCATTGTCCATTAATGAAGTATAGCCATCTCTCAATGGATTTTAACAACAGCAAGTTGTTTTTGCCTATATCCATAGCAGCATTGGATAACCTGTGACCCTAATCCTAACCCTTTGTGGAAATCCCCTGATCAAGATTGCTGAGGACAGATACCAGAGTTTCCTACCATTTTGAGGTATCAAACACTTTTAGTATGCCCTAAAATGGGCATATCTCTGTTAAAAGAAATATAAAATTAGCCCCACCTTTATGTATGATGTGAGCCTATCCTCTGTGGGTGTCAGCTATCCAAAAATATTAAGTAAGTTCAAAAGGTTACCTATCCCTTATTTAAGGGAGTAACTTCCTTAGGGCCAGATTAAGATTTCTGCCTCTGTCTCCCCCTCTGCACCCCCTCTCCCAGCCTAATCCTATACATTAAGAGGACTATTCAACTTTTTCAGCTAAATTAGGAAGATTTTAAAATGTGCATTTGCCCAACATTAAATCCAATATACCAAAATGATGGCTGTTGGCTAGAAGCATCTGAGTGGAATTGCTGATACAATTATCAATCAATGTTATACAGTGTATGGATAGTGTTTGGATAAACCTGGATTCATATCCTTGATTTGGGCTTCTTGTGGTCTTTCAGGCTAAATTCAGACTTCTATCTGTAAAAAAAGGGGGGGGGAACTGAAATACATGCTTTTTTGGAGTTACACAAGCACTTTTTTTCACAAGAAATGAACCCCACCGCGGCCATCACATCCTTCCTCCCCCCCACCCCCACCCTCGATTGCCTATGGATTCTGATTCACTGTAAGTCTTGATAAAAACGATGACATGAATCATCCCAGTTGCATTTAAACCAAATTTCATCCTTTCTGGATTGTAGAAAGTTGCAAGGATGTATGTCTTCATGTAATATGTGTGTGGGAAATACATTGGTGTGCTTTTAGACACTGACACTAAAAAGCATGTTTGAGCATCTCATTCCTGGACTTTTGGAAACATGTACAGATATCACAGCAGGCCAAGATATTCAAGGTAGCCAGCTTTAAAGCAATCAAAACTTCAGGTTTTATGTTCCTAGCCCCTGCCCCCTTTTATAACACTGTCAGGCAAAGATGGGATGTGTGTCAAAAATTGTGGTTATTAAGGTATTCATGGCATATTAAGAAAGTATGGATGAGTTCCTGCTGAGGGCAGAAATGTACATGAGCTACTCTAGCGCCACAGTTGAAGGAAGAACACAGAATAGGTTAACAATAAGAAGCTTAAGGCAGTGCCCGGGATTGCAAAAAGGTCTTTGTGTTTATGGAGTGAAATGGGGAGATTTCACACTGAAAGAGTGCCAGTTTTAGTTTGGCCACACTGACATATAATAGGGAAATAGCATAAATCAAGCTTCCCCATTCATACCTCCTCCAGATGTGTTGGGCTTCCAGCTCCTTGAGTATCAGACATCTGGGAACTGAAATGCAACACATCTGGAGGTTACCAAGTTGGGAAAAGTTAGCATGACCAATAGGGAGAAATAGCTTGAGGGGAGGGGAGAGGAAGAGAACTGCAGTGATACCACCTTCCCTTAAAACTATATGGACCTTCCTACATAGGAATGTATAGGACAGCACAATATATCTATATAGTCTATATAAACCAGTGTTTTTCAAACTTAGCAACTTTAAGATGTGTGGATTTCAACTCCCAGGATTCCCCAGCCAGCATGCCAAGTTTGTCAAGTTTGAAAAATGCTGATATAAGCAGAACAAAAATCCAAGCATAAATAAATTAAAAGAGAATTATAAAAATGGGCTATGTGTTACTGAATAAGAGGAAGTAGTTTCATTGCCACTATAGCAATTGTCTGTAATTCCACAAATATCAATGGATCTCATGCAATGAAGAAAATTATGATTGCAACGCCTGGTTTCTAAATAGAAATTATTGTACAAGGGATGAGAGAAAAAAAACTTCACTGTAAAGGGCTGTCATGAAAAATGTTGATTTCTTACAAGGAAGCATGGTTACAAAAAGGAAATCAGGATGTATGTGGGGAGAAAAGCCAGTAATGTTGGAAAGAAAGTTATGCATTGTGACAGTCTGAAGGGCACCTGCAATCTAATCTCAGTAAGTCCATCAACCTGTCTAAACAATACCACTTCAGATTGCAAGTGAAGAATGCATAGAGTTAATTTAGTTGGTTTGGATGATACAATTCAGACAAAGATTGACAAATCCAATGTGTGAGAAAGGGAAAGGAAGGAGATAGCTGCAAGGAGTGCCACAC